ATGCTACGTTGTTGGATGCAGCTTATATTAGGTTGGAAAGAAAGTTCTGCAACACTCTTTCTAAAATTTTCTTTTTTTTCTGAAAAATTCATAGGTAACATTTATGACTACCAAATGGTAGAGCATTCTCAAGGCTTCAATCCACGAGGTGGATATAAGTGCTGCAGTCAGTAGTTATCCAAGAAAATTCAAAAAATCTCGACCACTAGCAAATCCGTACTCCGAGTCACTGTCTAGTACAAATGTCTACAAAACTATGGATTCGTGTCAACGACTGACACTATCTGCAATAGCTTCTAATAGGCATGCCGTTCAGCGCTACAGCGTGTTTCACCTTTACCAGCGCTTCCGATCTTTTGATATTTTTATAAGAAGCCAGCAGCATCCCTCACACTCCATTACAGGTAGGGCTCTTACAGAAGCTCCACTACATACCCTTCGTTATGGGCACCATTGTGTAGGCAGTGGCCTAGGTTGTGGAGTACCAGAAGCTGGCCGAGGTAGCTCGTCAAGAGCCCTCGTACCGCGACAATATTCATTTCTTTCATGACATTGCGAATCACCATGATCCGAAATGAGCCCGGTAAGAAATTCTGGAGTTGCGGCAAGATTTCTTTTCCTCTCTTAGCGTAATCCCCTGGTCGAGCTGTAAATGAGTGCTACCTATCCTGGACCTTTAATCATCATCTTGATAACGAAATAATCAGACGATCAACTCCAACTCGAAAGTGAGGTCGCCTCCTTTCTCGACTCGCACTCCGCTGGGTTTTGGCAGAGGAGGCATCAAGAAATTTTCTGAGCGATGGAGACAAGTGGTGGACACTCATGGTAGATATAAGACCGGTCAGGAGTTGTAACCAAAAAAGATAAAATTAAAATCAAAAATTTGAAAAAGTGTTGCAGGACTTTCTTTCCAACCTAATAGGAGGGAAACTTTGATTCCTATGATCTTCCAGCAAAGTTTTTTCTGCTTTTAGCCAATGTCGTAATGGATTATTTGATTTCGTGTCGGTCCAGGTGTCTCCGGCTGCGCGAAACGCATTCCGGCTAGGCATCCGGTATTCTACGTGAGTTGTGATTGGGAGCCATAATGCGTGAGCAAGCATGGAGATTGTGCGTCAGGAGGTGGTCGTAGTCGTCATTTATATCGTTTTTCGTATTCCAAAGCACATCGTCGTCTACCCTTCAGTGCAGCGCATCAAGAGTAGTCGTCCGCGGTTGTCTTGATCGGATACGTGGCAGGTGCACATGACTTCGTTCGAAAGTGCAGTCTTGCGCGTAGAAGTCGATGATCGCTTCCGGTATTGAATGATGGGACTACTCCAACATCTGTAATGGCCCTTCTGCTGCATAGGATATGGTCGAGTTCGTGGTAATGCTGCCCATTCGGGGACTCATAGTTGTGATTTAATCTCGCAAGAAGTGCCAGCCTTTCTCTCTGTTGCAGTTCGCTGTTATGCACCTATTTTTTGACAGTTTTGTGGTGTCAGGCGAGCCCACAGCTAAAACTGGCCGTCGACAGTTAAGCGAAAATTACCATTTCAATTGACTAATTGACAGTAACACGCAACTTCGATACATTCATGGTCTTCCCAGGTTGGCGTGACCGGCGATGTGGGGAGCTCAGAGTGAATACGGCTGATTGTTGCGCCATTATATCCACGCACAATACGGAATCCTATGTGCCCGTAGTACCCGATAGTGGAGCGAGGCAATGTGATTTAATGAGAACGACTTCCAGAGTGTTTATCACCTGAGCTACCGATTGATGGCCTGCAGAGAGGGGGATGAGAGCAGCGTGGGGCGTGTGATGGTGGCCTGCTCCCCTGCTCTGCTACTGGCTGCACCGGCAATATGGATCCGAAGAGTGTCGACCGATCCGGAGATCCAAGAAGGAGCCAACGAGAGAAACCCATCATCCTGATCGACAAGTAGATGTACTATCAGCGAACTACGGTGTATGCGTGCGTGTAAGTGTGACTGATGATGAGTATGTTATTTGAGCGGTGGTGCGACTTTTAGCAGGAGCTGAGCTCAGAATTACATGCTTCATGACAAACTGCAAAAATATAAAGATTGCTAATCGAGACAAATATTTACATCCTATAGATCGAGAAGGTACCCTCGCCTTCAAATAACCAGAAATTGTGCAATTGCAGAAATTGACGTGGCATTAACGTGGCATCGATTCAAGAACATCGTGTGCCACGTGGCTAAATTCTCGATGAAAAGGTGACATCACGTGTGCTCAAAGATGTTCTTGAATCGATGCCACGTTAATGCCACGTCAATTTCTGCAATTGCACAATTTCTGGTCATTTGAAGGCGAGGGTAGGAAGGAAAATAGAAGTGAATGGAAAGAATAAAGAAAGAGATCTGCGCAAACCACGAAAAGTAGAAGGGCGTAACTACGTTAAACAACTATAAAGCATTGAGAAGAAGTTACTGAGCAAAACAAACCCAAATAGTGAACGATAAACTGGCTGGCATACTGTGAGAACTCTGATGGACCTACATGATGTAAAGAAAAGCCATAGAACAAGGGAGGAATTCTGGCGATCTACATTACTAAAGTTAAACTAGACTGATGGATCTAAGCCTAATCTGCGATGAGCATATGCGTTCAGTGTGGTTAAAGGATTGAAAATCGCGCGATGACCGTAAGAGGCTGGCGACCCGGCTTGGTGTGAGAACGGGGGACACGGACTAGCGCGCCGAAGATGGATGCCCGCCAGCGGATTCATGAGCCTCCACGATGCGCGCGGGATGTCTGAATGAAACGACAGGCGGGTCAGGGTTGACCTTTGCGTGCTTCTGACCGCAAACCGCCATTACACTCGAGATCGTGGCAACCCTCACGACATCGTACTCCCGTATTTGTGAGCGGATCCAAGGTATACGGATGTGAATATGCTGCACATAAGCGCCTTATCACGATTTAACAAGGGCGTTCTGTTCGCTCGCTTAAAACCTCACTTCAATGTGCACATAACTTTTGGAGCAAAGCTTGCAATTGATAGCTAAGGACAACCTGAGTTTGCACGGAACGATGAACTAATTTATTTGCAGGTCACGAAAGTAGGTCGGCCTCCTCCCTGTCATCATGCGCGCTATGTTCTCGATGATAAACCACCTCGAACAGTAAGTACATAGATGATGCCAACCGACTGGTTCTAGGTCATGCTCAAAGGTTTATTTTATGGGCACTTCTGTATATCGTTTCGATCCAGCAGTAAGACAAAACCGTAAGAAATAGGGTTGGTTGTGAAAGAGAGAAACTGGACGCCTGGGGGAATGAGCGGAGGGGTTTGGTGAAGTGGTTGTCATGCCTATAAAGAAGGAGAGCGCTCTGGAAAGGCAGGATAATCTTTGCACTGAACCCAACTACATGTGTGGGCTTTGATGCATTAGACACCCTTGAAGCAGTTTTTGAACCTCCCTATAAGCTGAAGCTGACTCCGAGGGACCGACGTAAAATGACTTATACGTTAGCTGGGTGATCCAACCACAACTTCAATCGGAGCAAATTGAGGGTTACTGTGGCTCCGGGCGCCGTGTTACAGACCTCCGCCCTCTCCTTCCCAGAATCTCATTAGGCCAAAAGGATGGTTAAACACTATCGAATGTTGGGTAGTTTTTGAAGTGCTAGGAGAATAAAGGACTACCGAATTTTTTCAGAGTGCCGCTAATGAAAACATGGAGTGCACTAACTGTGGCACAAAAAATACAAGTGCGTGGAGACGAAGTGCAGAGGGCAAAAGCGAATGCAAGTAGGGATTTCCAATCGAAGAAAATTTTTTATGAGTACATGAAATCTGGAACGACTAAATCTTATATTCCATGAGTCACAGTTATAGATTGGCAAGCGCGCGCGGCAACACTCGAAAATGTGGGAATTCTTGCGCTGCGTTCAATTCCCCTCCAGCACCTCATTGCAAGGTTGATAACGTTCTTCCTTTTCACGAAAGGGCGCATCTTTCGGCAGGTTTCTACCTTCTCCAATATGCATGTTTACAATGCGTGAACACCCTTTCTGTGGCATCACTGACTTCAGGTCTCCTGTAGTCGGAAAAATTTCCCACGAATTCCTCAGCCAATCCTCAATTTTTTTTAAAAGAAAGAAGTGCTGCACGAAAAGCTTTTCGGAGGACATCTGCGATCGCTACTGTATGAGCGCTCGCTGTGGCGCTTCTGCCCGACGGTTGCTCATGGAGTATCGCTCTTCACAGGGTTTCTATTAATTCAATTCGACCCCGAAAGTTCTTTGAACAGAAAGACATTGCTCGACTTTTATGCAAAGCATTAAGCCGTTGCGAAAGTCTTTGTCCATCTTCCCTTTCTTAATGAATCTTCTCCTTCAGCATACTTAACAACTAGAATTATTTTCATTGCTACTATCGATGCTCTCTTTTATAAGACAGCTAACTGATGGTGTTTCCAAAAAAACGCTGAGCTTTTGAGAAAAAAAAAACGGAAGGTGTACTTTTTGAGCCCGTCTAGACATCCGAATTCCCTCTCTTATTATATCAGCAAGACGTTCCGTCCGCTCCTCGCTACACCTTCATCGCTATGCGTGGACGAGTGCTGCCAGATAAGTTAGACTTCGTCATGTTCTCACGCCTAGTCTCGGTAAGTCCAACCATGTGCCTATCTTGCTGTTCATCAGCCACAGTTGGTTCATTGAGAACAACGCTTAGTGAACGGAATGATTGTAGCTTAATGAACTCTAAAATCTGCCCCTGTTGCAGTGCTGGAATCAGCATAGAATCCTTGGATGTATGCGTATAAGCCAGTGATGCCTTCTCGAGTTATTTACTTGAAACCTCCCCCTCTTTTCCAACCCAACCGGGCCAACTGAGGGGCACGCGAAAAATCGAATTAATCATGCAAAAATACCTTTTCAAGCTGATGGCCAGCTAGATAATTACGGCATAATTTCACCCCTCTGCGGTTCAATACAGAGGAACTGCAGCTACGCTGTGATAACACTGCAAAAGCTTGCTAGTTATCGTGCCTCCCAAGGACTGATTCCAATCACCTTTGAAAGATGCTCTTCAGTCAGTTAAGCGGGCCCATTAGGCTCGTGGCTTTTTCTCACGTTTCTGATTATCGGCAATGCGCGACAATGATGTTATGGTTCTACAAAAAGAACTTATGGCACTCGCCCTCACGCCGTGAATTACGACGTAGCGAATGAAATAGCCGATAGGAAATGTATACGATAAACTTTTCGTATGATCCGAAGTAGCTGTTCAGAAAAGAACACTACCAAACTCGTCCTATCCTCGCCATCATTGTCATCCACTCTTATCTCACCAATTCGATCGGGGGTTGTTGCTTTAATAGTGAATGAGAGCGCTCATGTCACGTAATCGATCATTTGAAGAATAGTTGTGGTAGGTACCGGAGTAGTGTGGAAGCAATTCTGGAGTGCTTTAATATTTTGGCCAGCAATTGTCCAGGGAAGAGGTCCTAGCCGGACGTAAGCAAACCAGCCCTTTTGGCGCTTCGGCTGGGACCGTATGCTGAATGTTGGGGAGGGGATGGAGTCCCCGACGGTGGACGGACCACTTCAACTCGGTCCTTAGAACCGCCACAATTTGGTGCTTACCTCAGAACTAAGCCTTAAAGAGAGGACGGGTCCGTCCCCTCTCCAAGGCTTAGTCCTGGGGTGAGCAAACCAGCCCTTCTGGCGGAGCTGCTGGACCAGCTGCACCACTTGCGTCAGTACTCTCCTATCGTACCAACCGAGTTGAAGTAAACCGTCGACCGTTGGGGACCCCATCCCCTCCCCAACATTCAGCATACGGTCCCAGCCGAAACGCCAAAAGGGCTGGTTTGCTTACCTCCCAGGTGTATGGAAACTTTTGCCTCATCCTGAGGGTGGAGGAGCTCAAGGGTTGGTGACATGGTACAGTAAATTGCACAAGATGTGAACAGGACGTTTAGAATGGGGGACATCCACCACTTCTTTCAGAAGTGCACATCAAATGACTCATTCACACTTTATCTTGTCCTTACAATGAGTATTAGACAGCCCAAAGGAGTGCTTCCTAGGGCAAGAGAAAGAGTGCCTCTCTCCAGAACTGGATTTCAACCGTTTCCATTGACTTTCAGTAAAAGCAGGAGCAGTCCAACGGTTGAAATCATGTTCGGGGGCACTGCTTGCTACCTTGTCTTAGTTCTAGGGAGCACTGCAGGAGCATTTCATCAAGCTTGAATCGCAGAGGATTTTTTTCCAACTGTAATCGCTACGAAATGCTACGACAGGATATGGGAAGACTAAAGAGACCATTAAATAGCGTTCACATACGACTTGCGTGAAGGTTTCAAAACATTCCGAAGATTGCGCAACATGCGGTGTGAAAAAGAACGGAACAAGGTCAAAGATTTTCGCGACAACCTAATATAATAGAAGCTAGCTAGAGGTAGAGTAAAAGTTGTCACATTAATAGCTTTCTTTTTCAGCGCATGCAACTTGTTCTTCCGGAAGAACGGAAGGAAACGGCCGGCATCGATGCGTCGCGATACAATCTCGCGTCGCTATCGCCTTTCGCGGTGTGACCTATGTGCAATGGAGGCTCAGGGTGGACAGACGGATTTCGCGCAGTTTCAGAAAGCTGTAGCACGGCACAGAAGGAATGGGAAGGCATCAGCAAAGGCTCATGTACAACAAGCAAGTGAAGCACCCCTTCCTCCTCCACTTCCAGGAAACCAGACCAAACCGCTCCTGCCGAGCCACCATTCTTCGTACCTCATCCGGACTTTCCACCGAATTTCCCACCATTCATACCGCCAAACATGGACTACAATCACCACAATCCTGTAATGAT